AGCGCGTACTAAATACATATATACTCGAGCACACACACACACAGTCGCATTCGGAAACACACACGTGCATGCGAGAGCACGCACACAATGGCGCATTTCCTGTTTCCGCTTGTTGCAGAGTCGCAATCGCCATCGCCGTTCTCGTCGCATGAGCCATGGGTCAGGGGCAGTTCGGGGAAATTTGCATAAATTTTACGTACTTTTCGCACAGAAGGCAAATTGCATTTTCAGCACAACACGTACTCCATTCAACTTACAGACACACACACATACATCCACACTCTCCCATACAAACACACCCACATACATAATCGTAGTTTTTGCTACTCCAACAAAGGTAGGCCGCGTGTCGTCGCTTGCTTTTCCCTGTCTCCCACGGCTGCTCTCTATGTACATATAAATATACCCACATATACATACATATATACATCTATATATGTATATATTTATGTGTGTGCGTGTTGGTTTAAGGCATGCAAATGTTACGAAAATTGCTTTTTACTTTCCATGTATGTGAATGAGTTTACCCACACCCACGCACACACACTCATACACACTCATACACACACATACTTATGGACAAAGTTCGAGGACTGGCCCCCATAGCATAAATCGAGCCGGAGTACCTGGACAGAGACACACACAAACACACATGCACACACAAACACATAAAGCTAGTTAAGTGTTTACCTTCAAGTTGTTACTACCGAATTACCTTTTATTGTCATTTTGTTGCCCACTCCTTTCCACACACAATGGCAAACAACTTGACAAAACGAAATCAAATTTTGAATAAATAAATAAATCATATTCTAAAACTTTTGGATTTGTACGCGCAAAAGTCATAATTTATTGCTTTATGGGCTATTATTGATTTTATTATTTATTTTTTGTGTCCCACTTTGGGATTTGAATTTTTCAATTAAACTGCGAAAAATGTAAAATAAAAATATAATAAAATATGTGTAAAATGTCCACGGAAACCCCATGAAAATCCAATGAAATATTTGTAGTTAAACTTCGGCAAATTCGATCGAATTTAAATGAAAATCCGTAGATTTGGAAAATTAAAAACAAAATATATATGTAAATATTTATATTTTTAATTTAATGTTTTTGTATGGCACTTGATATTAATATGTTGCTTATATTAAATATATAGAACAATAAATGAGTAACATATA